TTTTCAAGTTTGTCCAAAGTCTAGGACAGTCTCCACAGCCTAGGTGTGGGTCAAGATGATCTTTATATTGCTGGCATTGGGTAGTCACATGAAGTACTGTTTGTTTCTCCTTCTCTGGGCATGAATGCCAGTTAGTTGGTGTATGACAGTGGCATGCTCTGTACAGACTTCTGCCACATGGATTGTGTGCACTGGACTGATCTGAATATGCAGGAGACTCCTTGTTATTTGAATCTCTGTACATTACTCCATCACATCTGATTCATGTACTGGATACGTTTTTTCCATGGCATTCTGCCCACTGGGGTGCACTACTAGATTGTCCTTGAGATGATACCTGATACCTGCCCTCCTGCATGACAGGAGTCACTTCCAAAGGCTGAGGGTTTGTCTTCTTCCCAATTCCCTATTTAATACTCATGTCCCATGACAGAGATCCCAGTTGCTTGGCTCCACTACCATCTAATTTCATATCATGGGCCATGATACCCCAGCATTGGAGCAGCTGGATAACCAGGAGTTCATTTGACTGGCAGCTGAAATCTTCCTGCATATCTCACAACTCACTCAGGGACAGGGATTGAGTAATTATCTTTGGCCCTTCCTCTTCCTGCTGTTGTGAGGGTTCTACTTTGTCTTCATCCCTCACTGACTGAACTGATTTGATCTTGGATTTCTTCTTACATAGAGGGCAACTGCTAGTGGCACAGATCCATTCTGTGGTTCAGCTGCTGTTTGAGTGGTCTCAGTGCCTGTTTTCCTCCTGTTCTCTGAGGGACTGTCTAGTATTGAACTATGTCTGGTAAAGAATGGCCAGTGCCCAACACACTGCAATGATTTCCTCCCCTCTGGAGATGTCACACCATCCTCCTTGAAAATATACTGTTGCTTTATCAGGTTCCTGTAGTTGTTCAGGGGTGAACTTCCAAACCATTGAAGCAGAGAATTTCCCCCAAAACTGGCCCATTTTCTCTGACATTCCATGCCACTGGTGATGATCCACCCGTAGAGCAGACCTCCTTAGAAGTCTCTCTCTGGATTCTAAACATGCTGTGGGCCACACTGACTCTGAACATGGTACAGACTCAAGAGACATAGCAGCAACACCATGCTTTTTTAACAGCCAGAGGAAATCCAGAATTCTCAAAAGCTGGTTTAATAGGCCTGAAAGTGACAAAGGGCATAAAAAGCTGGAGAAAATTACCTGCCCCTGTTCCCCCACAGACTAGGTAAATTTAATGGACTCCCAGAGGTAGGCCCCAAAGGAAGGATAAAAGAGCATTACTGTTCTCACATCCCAAATGACCCTCATTGCCCCCCACATGCCATGAACTGGTCTCCCACAGTGCAGCAACACAGCAATGCTGATCCCTCTCTCTCCCTGCTGTGCAGAGGTACCGTGGTGGGCACACAGGGTGTGTACAGGAATATACACAGGGCTGTGTGCCACAGCCATGTGAACAGACCAGACAACTTTGTGGCTGTTGACTCCCTGCCCAGTACAACAAATGCTTAAATCAAATTTGTTTCAAACCACTCTGGTCAGATCTGATTATCTCAACCCTTTGGGTGCCAAATAAAGCTGTTGAGGTTTATGAGTGGTGTTGCCCATGAACTGTTCATTCACTGCTTCTTCCCTCTCTCCTGTGACAGACAGAGAGAATTGGAGGCACAAAAGGAAAAGATTGCAGCTTGAGATAGGAAAAAATTACTGGAATCAGCAATAAGAAATGAACACTAACAGCAACAATATTAATAAAAGGGTGTACAAGAGAAACAATTCACCCTACACTGACTGGAAAAACTCCCTTACCCCTGCCTCTGGTAGCAAAGTGAGGTAGTATAGAGTAACCCATCTCCTCTGGCTACTCCAAAAATTAACCTTGTCCTGGCCAGAACTAGCACAGCTACTTAACATAGACAAGAAATACTTGAATTTCTACAGATATTTTTACCAATTTGTTTTAATTTATAATTAATGACATTTAAGCTATAAACGTGTTTAATTGGCAGAAACAGGTTTATAGCTTAAATTTAATTAATAAATTAATTTGTGTAATGCAGTGATGCTCTGAACAGTCATTTTATTCTGCATCCTCTGTGATGTTAAGTAGCCATTGTGATGTGATGTACATGTAGGTAGTCATAATCATAGAGATGTATTCTTTTATAATATTTAGTGGTTTGATTTTGAGTTGCTAAACATCTCAGAATATTGTAATGTTAGCATTAGGTGTTACCCTTGCTTTGTATCTTTTCTCTACTTTTGATAGCGTGGTTGTACAAAAATACCTTTCACACATACATTTTAACTTAGAATACCTGCAGTAATAAAGCTGTGTGAAATAATGTCTCCATATTGTCTGAAAGAAATAACTTGACTGTACTGTGTTGATGCAATTCAGTGTGCATTTTTAGAGCATAAAAACTCAAACTAAAGTAGTTTTACAGACCTCAGTGGTTTTGAGTGACATGTTTTGAGTTCTGTTATTCAAGAAATAAGTGAATACCCAGAACTGGATGGGTATAAGGTTTATTTTAACTACATTGTTAGCTTGAGTTTGCCTTTGCTTCAGTGTATTTTGTGTTCAGAACTGCATGGGTGAAAAGCACTTCCAGCTGTTTAGTATGGTGGTGTGGTTTGAGGATCAGGTATTTGCTTATATGAGTAAATAATATAGTAGTGAGTTGATTCTTAACTTAATATTTAACTCTGAAGACAAGCCTAAATGCATTAAATATGTTTTAAAATTAGTGCTGGCAGTTGCAGTATTTTTTCATTTTGAAATGAAGGTGTTTTAATGGTTGTTTTTCTGGTAAGGTTTTCAAAACAGTGGGTAGCAGGCTTGTACATGTAAGTACTAATGTGCTCCATTGTGCTTATTTCCCTTGCTTTTGTGTGTCAGTGTATCTTGATCTTATTTGGACTGTGACAGATCTAAGTTCAATTTCAGGTTCACATATTTTTGTTTAGTATAATAAGATTCTTGTTTGTTGGATATGTCTTGACCTGAAGTTGTCTTAATGTTTACTTTGAACGCTGTAACATAGGATTAAATACTTTATAACAAAAACTTTTACTAATGACTTAGTGTTTTATGGTAACTAATACCTAATAAGCTGTCCTAGTTCACTTGTTACTGAAAACCCTACAGAAACTTTTTTTCAAAAATTCTTTTTTTCCCATCTTCAATCTTTGTAACCTCTTTGCCCCTTTTTAAGTTGTTCTTACCAAAGCTCCTGGTGAAATTACCATGTCCCTTCACAGATACATTGCTACCAACCCTGAGGAGATTGTAACTAGATAGGGGCACATCTTTTTCAGAAGTTTGCTTGAAACTCCAAAATATGTCTCTATGTCCTGGCTGTTGCATCCTTGCAGGCTTTCAAATTCTTCAGCAGTTTTTTTCTGGTTCAGATTTCTCAGCTGCTTGTCTGGAAAAAGTTTTCTGGACTATTTATGACCTTTATAAGCTATTTATGCTATAACAGCACTGAAGCAGAAATCCTCTTCCCAGTGAGATTGAGAAATCTTAGTGAAAAGATTCGCACATCGTTACTTCTGTAATTTTTTGTTTGTTTTTTTAGGGTTCTTCTCCAAATTAGTCTTGGAAGTTGAAGTTAAGGTTATTGGAATACAAAAGCTGTTAGAAATTCTGTGGCATTTTATTCTTCTGTAGTAAAAGAAACCAGACCATATCACTTCTTTACTAATAAAGTCAGCATCATCTTACTTTGACCATTTCTCCAAATAAAAAAACCAAGCACACCCTTAAAAGTAAAAGAACTTCCCAGCCAGTTTTTCCCTACTTTTGGGAAAAGGTTCTAGACTTTTGCCTGAAATGTAGAATATCCAGGTTGACCTTCTCTGCCCGGTTTGAGGTGGGTTTAAAATCTGGATCTTCATTACTGTGGGCAAACATCCTGCATGAGATCTTGGATCCATTGCTTTATGCTCTGCATCCAACTTCTTTGGTGCTGTAGATGCATTAGTCTTGACTGATTTTGTGGGCAGGGGTCTCTGAGGGTTTAATGAGGATGAGAGAAGGAGGAGCTCAGATTGAAATATGGTGGTCCAGGTTTCTTAAAGGGAGGATATTTGAAGTGACTGATGGTACACCTGTAGTGAGTTGAAATACTTCCATTGCAGAGATTTCTCACCGTATTGGAATGGAGGAGCAACTTTCTGTTAAGTAGAAGTTGTATTTAAAATCACTTAACTCATATTATTCAGAATAAATTGCCAAATAGTATCATTGTATTTAAGTACTATTTGTTTCTCTGGAGATTGAGTGGTAATGTTTCCTAAAATCGTATTAATGAAATAAAGGATATCGGTCTAAATGCTTCAGAAGAAGCTGACAAGTTAAAAATTAATTATGGGCATACACATTTTAGATATTTTTCCACTCTGCTGTGAGGATGTTAACAGCATTGTTTTACATTTCTAGTACAGCTCATTATCCTTTCTAAATCCTCAGCAATGTAGCTGGATTTTGTACAATAGACTTATATTTGTGGCTTCTTGCACTGGTCTCTTCATAAATGGAGCATGGCTTATACCCTCCTGTCAAATTTGACACAGTAGCCTATATGCAAAATCCATGGGCTATAAGGTTTTTCTTCATAGTATATTTTCCAAAGAAAGATTGAGATCATAAAAAAAGTGTAGAATATGAATGTAGGTGATCAGTAAGGAATTTTTGGCCCACATTTGCCATAAAAGTTAAGCAAAAAGATGTCCCATTTTGAATACTGGCTGCTTTTCATCCAGTATCTTGAAGTGGAAAAGTTGCATTTGTGTGCTCATGATAAATATTAGGTTCAGTAGTGTAAACTGCATTAGAAATCAGCTATCTTCAATTTTTGTTCTATTAATGTTGTGAGATTTTTTCTTAAAATGGTAGTTAGGCATTTGATCTTCTGAATTTGAGTGTTGTACTAGTAAGCTGTCAGGTTGTATTGGGGAAAATGAAAAATACTGTCTGTCTTCTGTTCAGAGTCTGCATCTGTGGACAAGTCTGTATCCCATTCTTGCACAACTCCTTCTACATCTTCTGCTTCTGGACTGAATCCAACTTCTGCGCCTGCTTCATCTGCTCCTACAGTTCCTGTTTCACCTATCCCACAATCACCAATTCCTCCATTACTTCAGGACCCAAATCTCCTTCGACAGCTGCTGCCTGCTCTGCAAGCCACCTTGCAGCTTAATAATTCTAGCGTAGATATATCCAAAATCAATGAAGGTAAGGATTCTTCAACGTTCATGTGATCTCTCATTTACATACATTAGTGTATTATTGCATACCAGGCTGTAGTAAATGAAAGCCTTATTTTAATTGAGAAGTGAATAAATTAATCCCTAGGTAAAGTGGAGTTTTTTGTGTTTTTTTTTTTTTTCTGTTAAACCTTCTCAACGTTTCAGGTTTTCAAATTAATGAATGTTGATGTACATGAGCAGTGTAATTGAAACTGGTGACTTAATCACTATATCAGCATTTGTCTGTTGCGCAAAATTTTGTTAGAGCTCTTTGTTCTTTTGTTTCGTGCACTGTTCTTTGTTTTCTGTAGTTTGTGCTGCTGTTCTGTTAACGTGTGTTGCAAATACTGAAACTTCTAGGGGTTCTTAAATCTTCTGCCTAACAACGTTTTTCTTTAGCATAACAAAGAAAGCTTCTCTGAATACAGGTAGCGTATCAGTAACTTTGCTAGCCAGTGAAATGTTGTACATTTAATCAGTGTGTCCCTTAGATTTTTGTTACATTGGCTTAGGTTGTTAGTAGTCAGTTTATCACTTAGCTATATTGCCTTTTGCTGCAAGAGCAGGTAGGGAGTTGATGCATTTTGAATGCAGTTTTATCTAATGTGTCTGCATGTGACAGGTTACTGATAAAGTGGTGTAGGATTTTTTGTTCGCTTCTTGTGCAAGGATCACTGATTTAAATAGGAAGTAAAACATTTGCATGGAGTGCTGAGAGTTAATTGTCTTTAACTTTCTGAAAGTGCAAATCAGGTAAGGGAAAATACTTACAAAGTATTCTGTACCTTGCAATTATTCATCAGAAAAAGTGGTCAGTTGCTTCCTTTTAATCAGCAGATATTTTGTCTTCATTCAGTAAGTGAGTAGGTCATTGGTTTCTTTTTCCTGTGCAGGGAAAGTCTTTGAAACTGTAATCCACTAGGTTGGACTAAAAAAAGAAGTGTTATGGCTGTGTTGAAAAATGAAAGGTCCACTCAACTCCAGTTGTATTTTATTAAAAAGCTGCCCAGTGAAATTTCTAGTAATTTTCTCTTGCCATATGAGCAGCAGCTGGGTATGTCTTGGAACAAGAGTGTTCAGAATTGTTGTGATGGCGTGAGGGCCTGGCTGTGTCCACGTGGGCAGAGTGATTTCACCTTGCACAGTAGGGCTGCCCTTACTGTGCACACGATTCCGTTACTCTGTGCTTTGCTGGTGAGTCAGTTTTTGCAGGAGTGTGCTGGAAGTATGTCCAGGAAGTATCCCACAGAGCCTGTAGATCTTTTTGGAAAGGTTAGTTCAGAAGCTCAGAGTTCAGGGTCTTTGTCATCTCGTACTGCAAGATGCTCTTCCTGTATTGTGCAGTTTTAAAATGGTTTAAAGTGATTTTTTTTTTATTGGTGGGGGGATGACATGGGACAACTAAACCCAGAAGAGATAAGGGCTTTTTATTAGTAAGAAGAAACATGGATTTTTAACCTGGAAGACATTTGTCTTCCTCTTGAACATTAAGTCTGGCCCTCATCTCTTTCAGTGAGTTGAAGTGATTCTGCTTTTTGCTTTTTTAAAAAATTATTGTAGTATAAAAAAATTTTCACACGTTCTGCTTACTACAGTAGCAAATTGGACAAATTTTCTCTTGCTGTTTACAAGAATTATTACTAATCTATAAGGTCAACTGGAAGATTTGACATTATTTTTTAAAGAATTTATGTTAAATGTATGTCTTAAAGCTACTAAAGAAAGGACTTGCTAGACATACCAAGTCAACTTGAAGTCAAGTAACTGAAGAACAGTTGAGGTGGATCTTTGGTCATGGTAGATACGGGAAATAAATATGAAAGAAAACATACCTTAAATGTAATTAGTCAGTTTCAACAGTTTAAAGTGGTGTTCTAGAATTGTCAGTAAAACAGAATGTTTGTTTTCAGTTCTAACAGCAGCTGTGACACAAGCCTCTCTGCAGTCTATACTCCATAAAATTCTTACTGCTGGACCATCTGCTTTCAATATCACCTCCCTAATTTCTCAAGCTGCACAACTGTCTACGCAAGGTATTCGGAGGTTTTTTTTTTTCACTCATGTAAATTTGTTACACAACGTTTTAAAAAGGCTGATACAGTTATGGAATCTGTCTCATGTCATATCTTTGGCCACACAATGTGGAGAATGTGAAATGACTTCTTTTTCCAAAGATAGGATAAAAAATTGTTATTGAGGGGCAGGAACCTGGCACACTACTAAGTAAACAAGCCTTTCTGTCTCACCTTTTGGGATTTTCTTTGTATGTTAAGAAATTCTACATGAGTAATGTGAACCTTCTGGAATTAGGTGTAAGTTAACAGTATAAAACCCAACTCTTCCTTACTTCAACGCCCATCTTGTAGTACTGTGCAACTGTGACTCTTGGGGGAGGCTTTAAATTCTTAAAAGAAAGTTTCCTCTCTCTGGTGGGGGCTTTTTTTTTCATCTTCTAGGCAAGATATTCTTTCAGATATTTCCAATATGTTCTGGCTTGCAACTTAATAAAGAACTTTAAAACTTAAGTTTAGAAACTTAAACCAAAACAATAAATGCAGTCATCTTACTGAGTAGGTAAGCAGTGCTAATGGTAATTTTTAACCATGGGTGGGGAGCTGTTGGTATATGCCTAGAATGGATTAATAGGTTTCTTTACAAACTGTTATGCTTTCTTTTGGTTAAAACAAGTTGAGCATTCTAAAATAGGAGCTGCATGTGATTAAGTCTCTTTATCTGTAAAAAACATTTCCTTATAGCTTCTTTCCTTTCCCCTCCCCTGAAATTTTAGAAGTGGGGAGTTTGGGGGAAATACAATTCCTTAGCTAGGATTGTTCACAGTGAACAATGTCATCTAATATAGCATACTCCAGAGTACCCAGAGAAAATCTAATTTGCATTTATGATAGGATATGGTTTTATTAAAAGCATTTTTCTTCTCTGTACAGCTCAGCCATCTAATCAGTCTCCAATGTCTTTAACATCTGATGCCTCATCACCAAGATCATACGTGTCTCCAAGGATAAGCACGCCACAGACTAACACTGTTCCACTGAAACCTTTGATGACTACGCCACCAGTATCATCCCAGCAGAAGGTGAGCTCCTTTTGCCTTATGCCATATTGTAGTAAGAAATCATTATACATAATATTAAATAGTGTTCCTATAGATCCATGTGCTAACAGTTGTGTGTAGGATAATAAAATATGTATGTTATCTTTCCCAATAGAAACAAACAACTGGAAGCAACTACTTGACTGTATTTTGGCAATTCAGCTCCAGCATGAAATCTAGTTTACTTTGCTTGAGGAAATTCTTAATGCTGGCCTCAGATACTGTGTGGAGATTTTACCAAGGCATTGGTAATCTAGCATATTTAAATAGCAACAAAAGCATACCTCAGTGGCAACAACTGATACAATTATGTAGACTTACCCAATAAAAGATGTTTAGAATGAGAGAGAACTTCTTGGGGAAATTAACTTGAAGTAGTCTCAGATTTTCTTTAGAAATGTTCCAGGTGTTTACAGATCAATAACATAATGTCCCTTTCCCTTCCTGCCCCCTCACCTCTGTTCATTCAGAATTCCTTCATTGGATCAGTGACTGGGAAATGTAAATTGTAGCTAACATTCAAGCTCCTGATGTTCTTCCTGAGAAACCCCCACCTTCCTAAAATCTGTCTTCTCTATCACCACTTCTGCTTAGCTGAGGTGTCTTTTTCTCAGTTTTCTGCTCACAAGTGAGCCTCTAATGTCTTGGATGCCTTTGAGGAATACTTTTCAGGAGAACACATTGCATTCCTCATTATATTCAAAATGCCTTATTTTCTTTCATCAGATTTTTTTCATGGGTACAAACAAAACCAAGTGATTCTCCCAGTTTCTTTTGATGGACTGATACAGTGAATTGCAAAGCTTCATGTGTATACCAGTACTGATTGTTACCTTGGTTTCTGACCCTGGATTGCATTCTCAATTTATGTTCTCATCCCATAGCTAGGTGGCAAGTAATGAAATTGTCAAATACCAAGGTTGACATATTTGATACTTCCAAATCCTGAGATATGAAAAAGAATCTTAAGTTGTGTACTGTCGATAACTGGAAGTAGATATTTTCTGGTCTCTACAACCCAGAGATTGATTGTTAATCCCAGAAGTAACAATTTTTTTTTCTGCAGCAGATACTTTTCCAGTTTTTGTATTTGTGTAACTCAGTTCCATGAGATGGGAGCTTAGGTGGTGATAGCTCTGGTGTGAGCACGTCTGCTTTAGCAGCCCATCGGGTATGTGAGTCAGGCTAGCTTGTCCAGTTGTACAGTTTGAGGTGAATTATGCCTAATCAAGATGTGGTGTGTGCCAGGACACACTTGGTTTTAGAGCACATGGGCTTAGAGCAGACAAAACTGAAGTGGCCCTGGGCAAGAAGAGCCCAGTGCCAGAGGCACAGGGATTTGAGCTGGCTGTGGGACTACAGTGGTGCCATTGGCACAGTGCTGTTGCTTAGGAGTGCTTGAACATGTCAGCACTGATTTCACAGTGAAGCTGCTGTGGCTGCCTTTGGGGTGTTGTGTGCATGTGGCAGCTCAGGGGGCACAGACTTTGCCTTTTAGCTCTGCCTGTATTGTGTGGTCAGAAACTGTTCTGAATTTCTGCAAAGTAGTTGTGTAAAGCACTTTACACAGACTTGTCAGGCTCAGTGAGAATGTTGCTTTTGGTTGGTTGGTTTGTTTGTTTGTTGTGTTGAATTTATTTAGCCCTTACTATTTTTCTGTTTATGGTATATATATTTAAAGTCTTTGAAACACTTGGGAGAACATGGAGTAATTGAAAGGTTTTGCGGTTCATTTGTTTTACAAATCCCACTTTTTCTTTATGCTCCTTTTTTTTTTTGGTTAATTTTACGAGCCAAGGAGCTGGTTACTTCCCCAGTTTGGATCTGCTGCATGATTCCTTTATTGCTGATAGGCTTCTCTTTTGAAATTGTTCTGTTTGAAAAGCCTTGATAATTTGATGTCTGCTCACACACTGAGCAAAATGCAGGCATTAATAGCAAAGTTCTTCATGTCATACATTTCATAAAGGTACTTGTGTAGTCTGTTCTCATAAATCAGTTTATGATCTGCTACTGTGTCACCCTCCTGAATGATATAGTTCTGCTTATTTCAACAGCAGATTGATCTTACAATTATCTTGCTTTTCCCTTTTACTACCATGGACTTCTCATGTGCTACTCAGACTTCTTTAGTATATGCCTATTAGTCTAAAAACCAGAAAGAACACATTTTCATTTTGATGATAATTTTAAAAGGTGACTTTTCCTCTTAGACATCTAAGAGTTTGAATTTACATTAAGACCCCCCCCTTGCATATTTAAATGAATCAAGTTATGTCTTGAGTTTATTTTACCATCTGTGGTTTGTTTCACAGAAGTCATAGTTTCTGAAGTAGAGAATTTCTGGAGGTTCAGGAGACCACTAGTTAGTAATCTACACTAATGTGAAGTCAGCAAATGCCAGAGAGGCTGGACAATTTGGCTTTTTTGTCTTTATGGATCCCTAGAAGTCATTTTTTCTTTGCACTCTCCCTTTTCTCTCAATATTGTTAGCTTAACTTTGGGAAGTAGAGGATAAATTTTGAAGCTCAGCCTGTCTTGTACGTATTTCAAAATTGGTATGCAAAGCATTGGGCGAGATGAAATATCTTGGACTTCATTTGCTGTAAATTAGACATTACTAGATTCCCAAACTTCTCATCCTGATGTAGTTGAGAAATTCATAGAAAAGACTGTATCTTACTGCTGGTATCTTAATACCTTGCACTGAATGTGTACTACAAGGGAAAAGCAAGAAAGTACTGATGACTGTTTTTGTAGTCACCTGTGAGTTTAGAACTTAGAGAAGAGGGAGCAGCAAACTGACAAATATGCTTTAGATTTTTTTCCATTTTTGATAGAGATGTTTTTAATATGCTTGTGATGTAATTATGTTCTTGACACTGTGTAATGTATTTTCAAGTAAGGAACTCTTGAATTTGTACATGAAGATTTTATTTGGGTGATGAACAACTCTTCTGAGGTTGAAAATGAGCTCAGATGGAAGATACAGTCAAAGATAATACAAGCTTGCAATATTTTGACAAGTCACATGGGTCTAAATTTGCTTGTGTTACATCTGTTAATAACCCCTTCTTAGTACAAAAAAAATCTTTTTGCACAGCTGGGGAACTAGATTTTTTTTTTAAATAACACCTTGTAAAGATAATAAAAATTGTGTCAGCAAAAGGTCTTGTAACAAACAAACCCTATAGGTGTTGAAATTGTAATTTCCTTATTTTTTTCTGTTTCTTACACTTGCTCTTTACTGTGGAGGAATTCTAATGAAGTTTTGAACTTTGCAGGTTGCTACTCCAGGTGTTAAACAAGGACCAGCTTCCCAGGCAGCACCTCAGCAGCCAGTAATAGCTGACAAGCAGGCGGGTCACGAGCCTGCCTCCCCACGAAGTCTTCAGCGTTCGAGGTACCTTGAAATGCTTCTCTGTTCTGTCATTAGATTTCATCTGCATTCACTGTGTGTTGTGTCTGTTGCAGTTAGTGGACTCTTTGGCCAGTTTATTGAACTGCTGCTACTGAGATGATGCAGCCAAGTACCTTTGCTGCATATTTAATGTGGTAGATTCTCCATTTTTGGGATAGTCATTAGACCATTCTCACAGAGGCAGAATGGAATTCATGGTTGTGTTCTGTCACTCTAGTGTCAATTTTATAAGTGATTCCTTGGATTGTGATTTCAGAGTTTGAAGTGCAGTTACAGAAATCTGTGATGCTTAGTGTTAGATGTTTGTAGTGTCTTGCTGTAGTGTAATTTGATTTTGAAATTAGCATGATTTTTTGGTTTGTCGGGTGATTTTGCTGCTCTAATGAAAAACATTAAAATTAACTAAGTTTCACAAATACCTTTCCTTGGCCAGACTTTTTTGTCGACATTGCAACTTATTAAGATGTTGCATGATACTAGCGTTTAACCATTGATTTAACCATACAAGGTGGGTTTAGAATCTGTATCTTTGAAATTTTTCTTTTGGGAAGATAGAGTCTTTCTAGTGTCAGATACTCTGTGTTTGGTCATATTGGTTCCAGGGGCTGTAACCAAAGATGTGTCATGAGTCAGGTCAGATATGTGATGGAGTGATGGTATAGAACTGTGGTAGGAAGAAGTTGACTTTTTTAGAGGTTCTGTAAATCTGCAGTTGATTGTAGCTGGATTTTTAGAGTGATTGGAATAAGGTGTGTGGTGTGGTATTAAAAAAACAAAAAACCAAAACCCAATACTCTTGCTTTGTCAGCATACCTGAAGCTACACATGGTGGTGCTTTCCAGATCATAAAATAGTGAGATCCTTTTATCTGCCCTTCTGGGACTAATAACAAAGGAGACTTTTGTTTGGTGGTGGGGTTTATTTTTGTTTGTTTGTTTGTGTTTTTGTTTGGTTTTTGAGTTGCTTTTTTGTTGCTGTTGTTTTTTCGGTGGGTTTTTTGTTTGTATGTTTGGGTTTTTTTGTGGTTTTGGCTGGTTTTGTGGGGGAAGAGATGTGTATTTGGAGGTTCTTTGGGAGACTGGGTTATCTGTTGTGTGCTTGGCAGTCCTGTCCCAGAAGCTGGCTTTACTGGAGACCCTGGAGTATTGACCAGTTTGAGGGTACGGACACAAGCAAGTCAGAAGTTTTGAGTTTTTAGTGTTGGCTATTTTACAGACACTTGATTCTAAGCTTTGTTGGATTACAAGCCTATAACTCATTTATCTCTTTTAGGAGACTAAAGGCAAAGTGTCCAGCTCCAGTCCCTAGTAATTATGAATGGTGCTATTTAAATCTTTCTGAATTACAGTACCAAAGATAAAGTTAGACTTGCAGCATGCTGAGCTTTTTTATGAGGAGTGGTGAGGTTTTGGGGGACAGCTCTCAGTCAGACCCTTTTATTCTTTGCTTGCCACCCTCTCTGTACAGGAAATCTTAAGAAAGATGGTCTTATTCTTGGAAACCTTCACCATGGCTTAGAGTCTGTGTGAGTTGATGGGCATTTGGCTTGCTAGTCCATGCCTCACCCTTCCTTTGGGTTGCATGGCTTTGTACTCCAGCCTGACCCTTACGTGCAGTGAGTTTAGGGATCTGCTGTCCCTCTGCAAACCATTGCTCCATTTGGCATCAGCGTTTTGCTGGAGGAAGCAGAGTTTTGCCCCAGCCCTGCTGAAGCAGGGGCATTGTGCAGGCAGCACTCTTGTGGCTGAGGGCAGGGGGCAGTGTGCAGGCCAGGGTGAAGGTACTGAGACAGTGATAGTATTGTTCAGTGTCCTGTGTCTCTGAAATTAATACATGTTTGTGACTCTGCTGTGTTGTGCATCGTGAGTTCATGTGATTCCAGTTTGCTTTGGAAGTGTCTCGTTTGCAGCAAGGGGGAGATTAAGGAGTAGATGGCTTGGAAAAACCTGTGTGACTGGTATTTTCTTCTCTTGAGTGCAGTGCAGTTGAATGAAAGTGGACCAGTTCAGATACTGATTTACTTACCTGCAAAGGATTTGCTGTGTCCAGGCAGTATATCTGAATTGATAGGGAACAGATGATTCCTTTGTAAGTGAAAGTACTTGGTTGGATTGGGAATGGCTCTTGGGAGCAGTTTTTACTTTTATAGGAGTGAACAACAATTTAGCAAACTGAACTGCGGACAGATGGTCCAAAATCTTTTTACTCTGTGAATTAAGGTTGCAGTTTTCTCCAGCTTAAATGCTGAATAATTGAGCAGAAGTTCATCACAGCTGCATTTCCTTGGCCCGTTAAAAGTTTTAAGTTAATGGAGATAAATAATTTTTGATTTGTTGGGGTGGAAACACAGTGTGAGAAAATCTGAGTAGCTATTGTTCAAGAAGTGAACATTTCAGCCATTTAAGTTGGGAACTGAACACAATGCAGACATACAGTGAATCTGTCTGTTAGAGATTATTCCAAAGACACACGATCAATTATGGCTGCTTTAAATATGAAACTAAATTATTGCTTACATAACTGATAGTTTCATCAGGTTGGTAGTTTCTCTCTGTTTTCAGAAGGAACTGACAAAAATTTTCCTTTACCTTGGGAAGTGCTGTGAAGGGAGGTATTTCATTGCATTTTTTGTAGGTTGTAAAATTTTGACGTTTGTAGTAACATGTTTCAGAACCATCATGTTTTAATACCCTTGATACAGATATTTTTGCCTCTCTGGAGGCATTCTGTTACTTGTGGCATAGTCAGTCTTGAACTCAGCTAAGGCAAGTATTTCCCTTCAGTGAAGCATTTAAAAATGCTGTGGTAGTTTGGAACAGTCATTGCTGCATTCATAGCTCCCCCTGCTGCTAACACAGCAGTGCCTGGGATATTTTGTGACAGTATGTTTTTGTCATAATTAAGGTACAGCTGCATTTTTGAGAAGCCCACAGATTTTATTTATTTACTTTCTTGAAATATTTCTGATGTGTTCGAGTGAGTTTTACTGAAGTAGGAGTGGGAGAAAACAGGCTGATAAATTAAGAGGAGGCAAGTCATGGAGGGAAATTTAATTCTAGTAGAACTAAGGAGTAAATAAGGTTATGCCTGAATTCTACTTAATTACTAAAAATAGCCTGACTCTGCACCATTACTATACTGATGCTAAATGAATACATTGAAACTTAGAATAATTTACTTTGGAATGGAATTCTAGCTACAGTCTACTTTGGTCCCACCTTAGAGTAGGACTGGCAAGTTTGAATTGCTAAGGGCATTAGTTTGGTGACTTTTTTTTAATATCTCAGAATATCTTCTTCTGATGTTTGACTGCCCTTATGGTGATTCTTTTTTTCTCATGTCTAATTAGAATTTCCCTTGTTGTAGCTTGTCTCTGCCTCTTGTGCTGTCACTGTGCATCTCTGGAAAGAGTCTGTTCTCTCCAAAAGTAGAAAAAATCTGCAAAGAGATCCCTCAATCCCCTTCCCCTCAGTCTTCTGTTTTCCAGACTGAATAAACTTTAAGCTTCTTTTGATACAGCATGTGCTTCAGCCCCTTGTCCTCTGCCACATTCCTTTGCTCTAGCAGTTTAATTCTTGTCCTGTTTTAGGCTTCCCACTACATAGTGCTCCAGATACTGTGGATCTCATAAGCTCTGAAAAGAGGGGAGGAATTGCCTTTTTTACAGGAGAAGTGCTTCATCCCTCTTGTCAGCTTGGTGACTCTCTGGCTTTGTTCCAGCAGGTCCAGTCAGACATTCAGTTTGTTGGCTGTAATTCTTAATGCTGTAGTTCTTTGCAAGTGTGAGTTGATTACGGTAAATGTCTGGGCTTTGGATTAGAGATAGTTGCCTTATGTAAGGATGCTTTCAGTCTTCAAAGGGACCAACAGGGTAGGTGATGAATCAGAAGGCCTTTAAAATTTAGTTCTCCTTTATAATATTTTCTTCTTGCCTGCAAGTGATACAAAGTTTTAAGAAATAGCCTGAAATTATGGCCTGTGTTGAAAAGTTTCTGCCAGTGGGAGAAGCACTTACACAATTAATGCCGCTATTTCTCAGTACGTGTAGTGCCAAAGAACATTTAACTGAGGTACCATCGCTGTTATGCTACGTTCCAGTGAAGCAGCCAGGTTTGGTGGCTGCAAACACACTGCTCCTGTGATACTTCTGTTTTCCTGAGTGCATTCAGTAAAGATGTGCAATGTCACAAAACCATGTAGATTGTGTTTTGGCATGAGTAGTAAACTCCTCAAATCCCATATGGACGTATTCTCAGATCAGGACATCAGACATTGTTCTTAATGATTGTTCTGCCAAACCTCTTTTGAATAAACGTGTTTGCCTCCCATCTGATACGTCGTTACTGAAAATCTTAGGTTGGCAGCTGTTCGAAGGAAGAACATAAATATATGTATATTTTCTGTCTAGCGTTTAGGCACAGCTTACATCTCTTGAATAGCTCTCAGAGTTAAACGAGACAAACTCAAAACCCTACCAAATAACAGAATCCTCTGTTATATTGTAGCACTCAGTTCCAATTAAATTTAGAGGTTTTTACAGAGGTGGCACAGCTTTGGTCTATCAGAATTATTTACTTGTGGTTTGAACACTTTATGCATTTTTGTGCCTGGAGGCAATGACTTTTCAGTGTTCATTTCTCTATAGGTTCACATATGTTTTTAAATGCTCACTTGCTTTTTTTAATTCTTTCTTCTAGTAGTCAAAGAAGTCCATCACCAGGTCCAAATCATACCTCTAGCAGTAGTGCATCCAACTCAACACCTGCACCACAGAATCCATCTGTACGACCCACGTGTTCATTAACACCTACGCTAGCAGCACACTTCAATGAGAACCTTATAAAGCATGTTCAGGGCTGGCCTGCAGATCACGCAGAAAAGCAGGTGAGTGCTCCTTTGCTTTGGTACCTGGGAGAGGGCATCAAATGTAGCTTAAAATTTGAGTTGCTTTTTCTAGAAATTAAAAGTATTAAAATCCTTGTTCTTGTCCTCAGCCAGGAGAGAGGAAAGGGAGATTAGGCCAGACCTGCAGGTTTTGTGTTTGCCTTTCAGTGGTTGGGTATTTTCAGTCTCACTTGAAGTCAGTGCTTTTGATATTCCCTCAGATGAATAGCTGTCCTCATAACTATTTTCTTACTGCTTAAGTTCTGTTGAAATTTACAGAGAACATAGAGTTCAACATATTTTTTCATAATTATATTTTGGTTATGTGGAAAACGTTATAAATTAGGTACAGAGTTAAACTATTTGAGAATACTCCACGATTTTAGTTACTGGTGTGTTAGGTCTACACAGTGTAAAAGAAACTCCACCTTGTTTGTGAATTGATGTAGAGTACTCAGACTGAATTTGGGCTATTTTTACATAATGGGAAATCCAGTCAAACTGCCATCCATGTATTATAGCTAATTGCATGAAACCTGTTCTGTTGTAGTAATACAAGGAAACTGGATGCATGTCATCTGCTTGGAATGTATTACTCAAAGGAACCATAGTGGTTATTGAATCTAGTTAAGTTATTTCTACAGGCAGCTATATCTGATGCAGTCTGTTTGGGGTAATAATCTTACCTAGCTCAGTTTACTTTGGTCTTTTAGAGAGGTGATGCATGCTGGCACAATTCTACACTGGAGGCTTTTGGGTAGTAACTTGCAAGATGACTCTCACAAGCGCAGCCTAAACTAAGACCCTGTTAGGATTTCTGCTTCTTTTCACTGATTTGTTAAAGTCTGTTTTAAGAAATTACCTACCTGTACTGAGTCAAACACTGAGGCATTGCTGTGGAGTGTCTTGAAGGAAATGGTGTAGCACAGGCACTTACCTATGGCCTTGGTCTGTAGTTTTGAAAGTATTATTTTCATGGTGTACTGAATTCACAAGTATCTTAATATAGAAAGCAAATTTATGCAGTTTTTGGGGTCTTTTTCCCTTGTTGGTAATAAAGAGATCAAAAAACTCAGCTAATGCTAGGCAGTCATGTACTCAGTTGGGTACTTCTCCCTTTGTGCTGCATGCTGCATTGTCCTGTCTGCTATTTCAGATGCCTTCACATGGTGGTGTTGTTTATAGACCAGTTTTGAATAGTAGCACTTGAGGCACTTGAGTGAGATATTTGATACAAAAGTGAATGAAAGTATAGGTGCAGTACACAGTGAAGAAGATAAGATAGATCAAAATGGAGAGACTAAAATCCCGTGCCCTGCTTTCTTCAGATAGCTGCCAGATATATAGTGTAATTTGGATTTAAGGCAGAAGAGCACATGCCTGAGTAAACTGAAAAATAAATAAGTAAATAAATTAGAAGAGTCAGGACAGGTATGTGCTAAAGCAGTTGAACTTGAAGAAATGTGCTGTGCAGTAGTTAATAGCTAAAACATTCTTGAATTACAGCAGTTACCTCACAGAACTCATAAAAAGCACTTAACATGGGAAACTGAAAAACAATTCAGTAACTGGAGTTGTGCAGAGAAGACATGGGCAGTTATATCCTACTGGACACCAGGATACTCCTGGATGTTAATAAACTCCAGAAATGAAAACTTTTAATGTAGGGAATTAGAACACAAAATGCTGCTTTGAACTGGAGAAATGACAAAAGTTTGATGAAGACCTGTGCTAAATAACATTATTTTTGGGAAGGAAAATTAAATGTACAAGTACCTAAACAGATGTGGATGAATCCCAGTAGGCAGCTAAGCACCACAGCCACTTGCTCAATCTGCCCCAGTTGGATAGAGGAAACAATTAGGCAAAAGTGAGAAAACTTGGGAGTTGAGGTAAAAGCAGGTCAAAGAGTAAAAGAGGGTGGGGGAAAGTGATGCAGAAGCAATCACTGCCAGTCCCTGAGCCATGGCAGCCCTGGAACACTGTCCCCCAGTTTTATTGCTGAGCGTGGCCCATGTATGGTGTGGAATATCCCTGAGGTCAGTTCGGGGCAGCTGTCCCAGTTTTGTTCCCTCCCTGCCTGTTGTCCTCCCACAATGTATTTGCTGGGTGGAGAGCAGGTCAGAGAGAGAAAGGGAGAAACCCTTGATGCTGTGTAGCGTCTGCTTGGAAATAGCTAAAATGTTACTGTGTTGTCAGCCCTGGCTTGGTCACAGCTTCAGAACATGGCATCACGTGGCCATGAAGAGAAGAGAATTAATTCCATCCCAGCCAGACCCAGTGTAGCAGAGGATAACATTGCTAAACAGCAATGGTGCAGGGAAGGCTGTATTTTGAAACAATTTCTCCATGTGCCACTTGAAAGAATTCCTGTTCCCTATTGCAGTGTAATACACAGGGCCTCAGATAATTATACTGGTCTCCTTGGTGCTGTTGAGGAGTTCCCTGAAGTCATATCCAGTACAGTGATGATACTTCAAGAAATGCACAAATTGGGAAGTGGATAGATTGTGCTTTTTAAATTTACACTTCTGCTTATCTCCAGCTGACTCAGTGGGAATATTAAAGTAATGGAGTTGATCTGTTAGAGAACACCTGAAGAGGGTTGCAAAGTTTTTTTCTGTTAGGTAAAAGGTAGCTGGAAAGATGATGGCATTCAGTTATTTTTGTCACTACGGCTTAATTAGATGGGAAATTTAAGTCTGCCATTGGAATAATGGTTGGAGACTTTGAACTGCTTGAAAAGGTTATTTTAGAAACTCCAGGCCCTGTCACATACTGTCTTTCAAGATGGTTGGGTAAACATTTCAGATCAAGAAGGTCTAAAGTAGCCCTGCCTTAGCATAGGCGTAGGTTACACAGTTTCTGGGCAGCAGTGTTGTTTATTTGTGATTCAGAATGGGCTTTTGTAGACAACTTAATGTGCTTCTGATTTAATACTGCCTTTTGAAATTAGAGTGCTTTGCTGTTTCAAGAGACACTGATCTAGCAATTCTCTGGCTACTGCCAATTGTTTCCAATGCATGATTCAAAATCCTAACCTTTGTTTAACCCCTGCAGGCATCAAGATTACGTGAGGAAGCCCATAACATGGGAAGTGTGCATATGTCAGAAATTTGTACTGAATTAAAGAATTTAAGGTCTTTAGTTCGAGTATGTGAAATTCAAGCAACTTTGCGTGAGCAAAGGTAAGTGTGTGCTCTGTGCTTGTTTCAGTTTTTAGGGTGTTATTAGAACTTCATTCTTGCATTATTTTGCATGAGTTCTGTTTACTGATGACTGTAAGTACACCAGTACTTGCTGTGTTTGCAAGCTGTCTTCCCTGTGTACATTCTGCCTATGTCTGTCCACTAAACAGAACCAGATATGCAATTTCTGTATCTACATTAACTAAGATAGAAAAGAAATCTCCTTTCAGAAACCTTAGTGCATTACAAAGAACTGATGAACTCACAGTATTTCAGCATGCTTCTAGAGTATCAGCCCATACATAATGCATAGATTGCATTGGGACACGTCTGCACAGTTTATCCTGATCTGAAACACTCAGTTTATGTGAGAGATTCAATAGGTCTAAAGCCAGAGCAAGTTTGAACAGGTGTAATTTACATTACAAGTGAAAGAGAAATTAGTGTTTGCTTATAGCAAAGTAGATGTGCTATAAGTCAGTCTTGTGTATCAATTCAGTGATACACAGCCAGGCTTTTGAATACTTTTGTGCAAGATTGGAAACTGTAATCATAAAATGCATGCTCAAAATATTCACCAGTGGTCCTGATTTTGTATCTGCTTTCATATCCCAACTATTAAATCACACTATAATTTTAATACAGTGCTTCTGACTTACTGTTTGAAGCCACCTTAATTGTGTTGCATGCTGCTAAAGTAGCTGCATTTATTCTAGAAGCTCTTGCATTTTGGCAGATAGTGAAACAATCCTTTAGAATCAGGCTATGATATATTTGTAAACCTTTCCTGATAAAGAACTGAAAACACCCATTTTTTCTGAAGCTTTATTTCATAACTTCACTACGTGAATTATAACTTCTATATAACATTTAATGAATGGCTTGGTTTCTTAAGATTTAATTTCCTAAGGTGTCATTTGTCTCTGCACATTTGATCTTAAATAACATGTCAAATGTCATTGTTCCGCTCATTAAATAGCACCTTCTTTCTTGTACACTTGTATCCTTAAACTATCAATGGTTTATTATTATTATGACTTTGAGCCTGTAGTAACATGTATCTTTTATTTTTGCTGCAATCCCAAAGATGTGGAATACAAGGCATAAGTAACCAAGTTGATGGGGGAGGTTTTGGCAAAGGATGGGATTATCAAAATCAGTACATTTAAATGATGGTACTATTTGTGTACTTCTGCACACAAGAGTGCTACTTAAATGTCTTCCAAGAAGGAACTTCATCTCTAGATAAAGCACATACATTGTTTGAATCAAAACTGACAGCATGTAAAAAGGCACTTTTCATTGACTGATATATTTTACATGCCCATGCCTTGAAGCTAAATGTTATCTTTTCAGTTTCTCTATATATTAGTATATTATTTTCCACCTACTTTTCAGTAGAAAATTCATTTTTAATGAAGTGGGCACATATTTGTAAAGTGTTCCACAAAAGTGCTGAATTGTTCCTTTTTCTGCATTTATTAAAGTTGCTTCAGCCTTCATAGAATATTTATATAAAACCTAAATTCTCCCTGAGTATTTTCTTATTTCACTGACACGTTTGCATTACACTTCAGCATCATGAAAAGTGGTTCAAATTGTTCATTAAAAATTCCTGTGAAACAGATGTTTGTTAGTCATGGTAATTGCTTATGTCACTTCAGAAGAAGAGGAAAAAAATGTATAAGAAGTTGTGAGCAATATAATTTATTTTTAAGCAAGGTGTAGTTATTGCTTTTTATCTTAGATGCCCTTTAATAATGCTTCAAATGTTTTTGAAATTGGAACTTACCATAAGTAGAGACTGCCATTAGCCACAGAGCCAAATACTTTTAAAAAAGCAAGTGAGAAGACTTGCTTTTTTTTTTTTTTTTAAAAAAAGGAGCACTTTAGCCTGTTTTACAGTCTGGAAAACTGCATGACAAAGGCATAATGCTGTTGTCCAGATTATTCAGTTACCTGGCTTACTTGCCAGTGTCCTGCTTTTTTTGGGAGCTGCATTCAACTGAAGAGCAGACCTAAACACAAATGTGTATCAGTCATAATAGAAATGCAGCAACTTTGTTTTTTGAACTGAAGTGTCAAACACACCAAGCCTTTATGCATCTGCACATGGCTTTAGTTTATTGAACACATTGGGAATTAACTTGATATCTTTTTAATGGGGCTAGGGAAGTTGGTATCTCTCACTGAAATTGTAGAAGTGCTTGTGTATATGCTTATTTAATACATCTGTATAGTGGAAATGTTTATACTCATTAATTTCTTTTCTCTTGCAGGATACTATTTTTGAGGCAACAAATTAAAGAACTTGAAAAGCTAAAGAATCAGAATTCCTTCATGGTGTGAAAAATTGTAAACAATTGCACATGGTTTTGAGTACAGGAACTATTAAACTGATGCCCAGTCTTAACACTTTTGAGCTGCATTTGAGTAGACTTTGGACCGTTGAGCTGGGCAGAAAAAAAAGTTGACATGGGGAAGGGGACAGGAGGGAGTCAAATTCAGGGGAAAGATACAAGAATGATTTGTAAAACCCTTGAAATGTAGATTTCTTGTAGATGTATTCTTCACGTTGTAAATATATTTTGTAGAGTGAAGCCATGGGAAGCCATGTGTATCAGAGCTTAGACATCCAAAACTAATCAATGCTGAGGTGGCTAAATACCTAGCCTCTTACATGTAAACCTGTCTGCAAAATTAGCTTTCTTTTTTTTTTTTTT